TAGTTTACATAGAATTGCCTTGTGCTGTTGGCCTTAGATGTTGTTACAACCACCATCAAAACCAACAACTTTCTCTGTAATAAAGTTCTCAAATAGTTATCAGAATACGTAAAATAGATTGGATGCGTTTAGAAGCTTAGTAGTCAAATTTATTGACAAACTCGTTAGCAGACGATAAATCGCTACAAAATATGAATATTGAACCGATTTCTAATTTAAAGTGGAATTTTAAAATGATATGCTATACAGGTTTTAATATGATTTAAAATGATTTATGGTGATTCCTGTGAAATAAAATATTTCATCATAAACATTATAAAAGTTATTGGAGAAAGAAAAATTATATAAATTTGTCACAATATAATTATAGGTACTATATGGCGAGGGAATGTTTCATAAACTTTGGTACCATCTAATTAAAATGTTTTACTTAGGTAGGTACAGCAAATCCTACACACAATACGTAGGTTAAATTTTCATTAAAAAACATTCCTACGTTATGAGCGTTGAGTGTAATAAAAAACTTAAAATATACGTAGATCTCAGGTGTTGTTTTTATGTCGACAAAAACGGTCGGATTCAGAGTTCCGCAGAGCCATTACTTCGGATTATGACATAAATATTTATTAGAGCAATAAATAGAGGAGAACGCTCTCTAGCTTTGGTATTATCCCTAACTTTATATCTAGCCCAATAAAGGTTATAGCTTCAGCGTGTTAATGCTAGGTGTTATTAAGGATAAATGTGTACGGAACTGTATTAGAAGCGAATAATTTCGCGGCTTAATAGATTGTAGGTACTATTGAGTTTTCAAGTCGCAATTTTATTGGACCACCTAGTGGTGTTATATACGGTTATTATTCCGCTACTCTGCTTTTAAAATATTTTATATTTATCTTGTTCTTAACTTATTGCTTTATTGTTTACAATGTCACAATAATTATTTTTGCAATATGATAATTCATAAAATAATTACACAAACCGTAGATCTATGGAGTTACAATAAACTTAACATATAACCAAGTTTAAAGTACTAACTACAGCTAGTTTTGCTAGGTATTCGTGAAATATTATGAAACTAACAGGATTAAGTATGCCTTAGATCGTATCAGTTAACAAATAATCATTAATCCATCTTATACTTTAATAACCTACGGCCGAAGATTAATCGTTGAGGTGATACTAATAGAATATTCTGTCACACACGCAACCTGCAAGTTATTATAGAATTGAAGCAGTGTGATAAATTAGTCTTATCCGTCACGATTGGTCACGGAAGGGCGTTTCTTCGCTACGATAACCGCCTTTATACATGTCGACCTGTCTACTGTATACGACACGATTACGATTTTTGCTTTAATACTATGCCTTACCGTTGCTATGATCAAAAAATATTAGCGTTGCTTATTTATGATATCATTTTGAATAAACATAAAATGTGAAATAAATGTATATTTTATGTCGCTAAATTTAAACGTATCCATTATCTTTCATATAATTTCATGTGAAAAAAGTTTAAGTACCTTAACAATAGCATAAACAGCGTAATTTTGAAGGGTTATACAACAATAATGAGTCATTATTCCACCATTGTGCGTTGCCGGAAGTACGGCCCGATATGGCCTCTATAACAGCCAATGTGCGAGTTACTGAGGGGTTTATAAAATATTTAAATTTACGTGAAACAAAAATTATTGTTGCGGAATAATATTCTACTAGGCATGGATGAGTTAAAATTTAATTTTTGTTATCTATATGTAGTCTTTGTGACGATTTTTTCAAAACGATTAATACTAATTTAAAAATTGTATGTATTCCGTCAATGGTTTAAGGAAAGAAAACGTTGTATAATAGGGCTTGAAAGTAGGAGTTTAGAACGTCTGAAAATCTTTCCTTGATTGCCAAAAGCAATATATTTCATGCAAATCTATTATGATAAACTGATATCACGAGGAATATACGTGTAATTATATCAAGTAACTCCTGTAGTCTCTTTTGTTTAACAAATCTTCTGTCAATTAAACATTAATAATTATTAACTTTATATAAGAAATCTTGAGAACAATTATGAAAATATCAAATTATTTCTGCTATTGATAATAAAATTTCTCTTATTTAAATCTCCAATCACAATTATTTTAAGGTTTTTATTGCTTCAATAAGAAAACTTTAATCTTAGACTATATTTTTAACAATTCCAATAACGACTCCATTATATTAAAATAGACAAGTGAAAGTAACGAAAAAAATAAATTAAACCTCATAAAACCGATAAAAAAATATATTTTATTAAGTGTCGACGTCGTTAAGAAGGCGATTTATATGAAACATCTGACACGATGACAGAATTTATTTAAGACTTCGCTACAAATTCATTAGACAGCGAAGAACGCTAGACTGTAGCCATAAAAATTAGAAAGAACTTATAAAGAACAATTTTTAGAAAGATTTATGGCACTCGAGCATACTTTAATATTGTTACTGAATACAGAAATAGTATAAGAGACATATTGATTAAGTCATCAACGTATTGTTATTAGTTTTATATTATAATATACTTTGTATATCTTTATTACAATATAAAGAACTACTACATATATATTCTTAAAGTAAATACTTAGTGCCAGAAAATATCATATATGTATATTATGAAATTGAGTAATATTATTGTGGTAGAACATTTTTGCATTAACTATATTTTTGACATTGAATAGATATACCGAAATTCATATAACGTATGAAACTATAATGGTTTCCTGTTTCCTTAAGCTGCCCCAGGACGAAAAAAATGAATAGACGAAATTTCATCTGAAATAAAAATAACGAGCCTTTCAAAATAAGGCACGAGGGTGTAGGGCGTCTGGATAAAATGAAAGATTTTTGTTAACTAAAATAATTAATATTTCACGTAATAATTTTGCGAATCTCCACTTCTCTTTTAACTTAACTTCTGAAAAAATATATTTTTTTTTACACAATATTATTTCATGGCACAAATATTTTGATATATATTTTTAAATATCTTTAGGTTGTCTATAAAGAATTAAAAGATATTGTATTGATTTTTGTTAACCTAAATTCAATAGATGAATGTCGTGGAATGATTTCGTTAGATAATTCATTTAATAATGACTTTCATTTAGAGAGTTAGGAAAGAATAACAGTTTAAGCAGACACCATCAGTTTGCGGTTTTCTTTTCGTAGTAGTTTATTTCTTATTTTAATACCATATATGAAAATACTAACAATAAGGCTTTTTATTTCTAGAATGAGATAAGTTGTGTTATTGTTTGAAAAGAGTTTTTTTATGATTTTTTTATTTTAGCTTCAACTAGAAAGTCAAACAATTAAAACAAGATTTTTCGTACCGAGTTTGATACTATTGCTTTTTCTAATGCTCTTACAGACAATCTTTTTTGAGATTTTTTAAAAGTGTAACTTGTGATCTTTTAAAATTATTGAAAATGTTGTCAATGCACTGTCAATATAAATATTTATATAATTTCCACTACAGCTAAACTAAGAGGAATGTAACGAAGTAGTTAATAGATGCATACTTTCTAAAAACGGAGTATGTATGATTCTTAAAACAGAGGAAGTCAGTGATGTTTAAAGATGTTAATTGCGGACGTCACGTTAAAAAAAATATAGGTAGGGTCCGCACTCTACAATATATATACATATAGGCTGTCAGCTATAATCCACTATGGCAATAGTGAGCAAAAGATAATCTGGATATCTGGACCACTATGCGAAAAACATGCAAAATAGAGTTAAAAACATTAAACTTAATCAATACTTTAACCAGTTAATATGATGATAAGTCATCGAGGGGTAAAGACAAACTGTCAGTAAAAGTCGTGGTTGCTAGAGTAATGTGGATTAGCATTTTTACTCACGTATAGCATATGTTATACCATTAAAAATAGGATCTGAAAAATGCTTCAGGTCGTTCAATATTTGCTTCCAATGATTTGGTAAGTTAAAAGAATATCACAATAAGAAAAACTTATATTGTGTTTAAATATGTACAGTAGGAATTATTTGACATAGTGAATAAATAATTAATTATATATGCATTTAAGCAGATTAATTATAATTGACTTTGCATTATTATTTTTTAAGAGATTGCTCCTATCTATACTTTTAATATATACTGTTCATATGTTATACTGTAAAACTTATGCATAAGGCTCTAAATATTTAATTGATGATCCATTAGCCATACGTTGTGTAACGAAAAATCTTTTTACTCCATAAAGTTAAAGATAAACTTCCCGGTCCACAATTTTCGTAATCCAAACCTAAAGTGATTTTAATGTTTGTTACAAAAAAAGGGTATTATTGTTTTATTACATTCATATTAGCCAAACTTCTTTTAGTTTTGCTTAATTACAAGATCTAATTAAATATACAGTCAGTATATATACATACATAAAGATTAATTTAATCACAATTAAATCTACAAAAAGGTTTATATCAACGTCATAAAAGTATTAATTTAGAACCGAACCTACTTAATTAGGTATTTAAAATTCCTTTGATCAACAAGTGTATGAATAGAAAATAATAAAGTTACCTACTTAAGTACAATATAAGTTTTAAATTTCTATATTTTAATGAAGAAATAAATTTATTTATTTCCTAATATGTTGTAGATTCATAATATATTCTGACATTATTAGCACATCGAACGTGACAACGCTATATAGAATTGAGACACAAACAAAATTCAAATGAGAGGCAACAAATTCTCGATATCCGTCTTGTGTGGAGTGACCATGAAATCGAGTTTTAGAGTTTTTAATTAGGTATTGTTTTATTTTATCAGAAATTCGGAGAAAAAAGGAATAAGAAATTACTATTCTTTTTCAAAAAAATAAAAAGAAAATTAAAGCTCTGTTTTTTTTTATTCTAGAACTTGTAAATCGTTGTTTAATAAATCTATTTGAAGATTTCGATTCAGTGTGTGCAATAATGCAATATATCTTATGGTTACCTTAGTCCCATGGAGCGATTTGTAACTCGCAGGGGGTCAGTGGAAGCACGTTCCGTACATTCTTATAGAACACCCCGCATGTGTTCTCAAAACGGCGATTAATCTTTTCACACTTTCCAAGATTCCTAGTAAATCGGATATTCTTTTGTTGAAACTCCAACCAACTATTTACTATTGACACATTAGTTATTCTTATCATAGAATAATAATAAGAATATTTAATTCTTGATTATAATATTTGTTCATGATTAATAATGTACACGTCTTTATGAGATATACATATTTATAAAATGGTAATATTATATTGGAGTATTGTTCGAAATTGATCCTAACATCATAAATAATGTTCAGTAAGAATAACGTTAGTTTGGCAAGACATTTGACTGATAGCACGTGATTAAGAAACGCACTTAAAGCTTACCTTAAGATATAAAAAAGGAAACGTGACTGTACAAGCACGAGGCACTAATTTGAACGGTAGAATTGCAGAAATTTATTTTGTGTGACTACATTCGAAACGCTGTACATTTAAAATGAAATATGGCCGCTTGTTGCATAAAACAACAAAGTCGGATTGCTGTGCTATTTTCTTGGAACAAAAAGCACATGTCATAGACGAAGTACTACGGATAAATGTAATTTCTATATCATTAAATATGAAATTGTGTTCGGATACTATGTGAAAGAATTTTAAAACAATAAAGATAAAAATAACAGTATCATCGCAAATAATGAAGGCAACCTAAGAAGCGTAATCAAATCGAGCAGTCACCGGGCGCCGCTCTGTTATTATACCAAAAAAAACTACGAGCAATGAAAAAAGACGGTTGGAAGTTTTCGGGGACAGAAAATGACAAAGAAATTGCAGCTTAAAGTAGCGCTTTATCAGAGACGGCACTAAATGAACAAGGCAGGCCGATTGCTACCATAAAGATAACAATAATTAGTCGTAATGACCACATCGTGGGGCCGAAGACTGTTTTTTTAAGTGCAGTGGGCGGCTCGTAAGCTTGATCGGGAGATAGCGCGTCCATCAAATCATATGATAATCGGCCACAGTTAATTCCATTACCAATAATAAATGCGCGCATTAAATTAGACCTGTCGGATGAGTCGACGGAACGCGGTTCAACTATCGCTCCCATCACTCGGATTATCATACGAATAATTTATACAAAAAAACTCATAATATTGTTTTGAATCCGGGACGTCAAACGTGTCGCTGCGTTTTTGATCGTTGTCGATTATATGGGTGATAAAAAGATGTAAGGAAAAATTTGAAGGCATACTTTTTGAGATAATAAAAAATAAAATATATACATCATTTTGCCGACGGAAACAGGTTATATCTTGTATAGCCATTTAAATGTCTTCGAATCGGCATCCTGGTTAAAGAATTAATAACTTAAGCTGAATTGAATATGCTCTGTAATACTTATAATTTGAGATTTGAATTTATAGTTTAAGCTTTGTTTAGAAAGGACGTCTGCGTGTGTTACTATAAACAACTTCAGAGTCGCTTGAATTTGAGCGATAATCATTTCATATAAGAGCATTATCAATCTTAAAATGCAATCTACCCGCCTACAAACTGACATTAGAGAAAGTTGTTTTGTTCAGAGATGTTGTATGACTCATATAGATTTTTGGATCAAACGTAAATCTTTGATCAAAAGATAGTACAAATGTGACAGTAGGTATATAACTTCCGATAAATTTTCTTAATACTTTTTTGAAATAACATGAATTTTTAACCATTAGAAATCTTAGTATGTATAACAACTAAGTAAATGGTAAATTAGTGTTATTTAGAGTTACGAATTTAAATCTATATTTGTGTTTATATGGTGTTTAAAAAATTTATTTCCTATGGTGCTCTGAATTTGAAAACAATGCAAAATAAAGAAAAGTTATAAGAAAATAAACCTTAACAGCAGTAGTGTATAATAACTATTAAATTATTATCTATTAATGTGTTGATAGATTAAAAAATATTCATTCCATTATGATTTAAACGATATACACTGCTGTGTCATGATGAGAAGTTGAAAAAAATCAAGAAGACACGAGTTAATGAAGCACTTTTATGCTACAAGGATTGTTTTAATATCGTAATTATAACTGTCTTACAGACAGGCAGTGTTGGCTGCTGATGTGTTATTTATAACTCAAGATGTATTGTTTCATTTGCAATGAAACAGGTCATGTGTGAGTTTAATATGCGTAATATTTGTATTCAGACATATCATGCTATAAATCTAATCTTAGCAGTAAATAAATAATTGAGATCTTGTCACATAGAACTTTACTTTATAAAAAATCTATTGTTACTTTATTTATATTGAAAGACTTAATAGTAATTGGAATTGCTTTCAATTTTGAACTAAATAGTGACCTTTGATATTTAGGTGAAACTGTATATATGTTCTAAGATCGATCAAGATAATACTATTATTTTAATTAGTCATCTTAAATTAATCAGCTGTATACAACTCGTGACTAAAACATAGTCGTATTTAGTTGATTAATTAATTGAAGGAATCGGATTACTAATCTACATAAATATACTGAAACAATTCATTGTTCCTATTTTAAATGAATTATAATTACATATAATATTAAAATGCAACTTGATATTGTATACAAATTATTAAATCTTTTAAATAGAATTCTAAAAGGACCGTGTTTAATATAATTGGCAAAAAAAAGTTTTGAGAGCCATATAATATATCAAAATATTCATTATTTTCATAGTTCATCAAACGGTTACCGTTATAAATGAACCCCAGCAAGTCATCAGAGCTAATTAAAGTAGCCAAGTTCTAAGACAGGTGCAGCGAGATAACGTGACACATTGCCTCGGAGAATCTAATTCATTCTGTTGAAATCCTTTTTTAAGTGCAATAAGATTACAATACGGTAACTACAATAAGAATGAATAATTGCACGCGTCCATAATTATAACTATATATTTCTATTATATTAAAACTGTTAACTAGATTATTGGATATTTAGTAAAATAAATAATTCTTTTGAATAATCTGTATGTGTATTCTTTATATATGTTTTTTATTATGATATAATACTGTTTAAAAATAAAAATCTACATCAAACAGTTACTTAAAAAGTGTAGACCCTGTTTTAAAACGTTTCAAATACGGTATAAAATTAAATCGGGCTTAAAAAAACTGTAGACCCTAAGCCGCGATGACAAAAGGAACAAGGTTGGAATACACGTAATTAGGACACAATTCTGTTCTTTAAATTAACTTTGTTCCTAAATGCCAGTGAAAGAACATGGTGAGCCCGAAGCCTTTAAGTCACCACTTAATTTATTGCCAATTAACCCGGTGTTAAGTAAAATAAAGTGACATTCAGACTACCGTTTGTAAATCTGTGTAGGTGCTAACTTGTAATCTTCTATAATCAATGTTATATTATTATATATATATAATAACATAGTTACAATTTTACTCCGTCTCTTCAATTTTTCATCCTTAATATTATAAAAGTGACAAAAATTAGTTATTTAAAGTTATATCAATTTGGGTTTATTGAAAGCGTCGACTTATTTTTATCTACACAAAAAAAATTGTTAAGTATGAAATCTGGAAAAGTATATTACGATATTTTATATTGCAATTTTCTATTTGTATTTTATTTTGGGTGCATAAATTTAATATCACTGAAGTAAAGGACATGTTTTTTAAATTTCATTTACCTTACCAAAGGAAAATAAAAAAAAAATAGGTGGAAGTAAATTTTGTAGCTAATTCTAAATCTGATTAAATATATACATTCAACTATACGCCCACGGCAAAGAGCATCTCCTTACAAAGCTTTGCCTGTACTAATTTATTGAACTTTGCTTGTTAGGAGTTGGAAATGTCATTCTTTATATTAAACTTTATTACATTATAAAATGATAAGTATTTAAAATGGTTATTATTATTTTATTTCACTATTTAGTTTAACGAAATAGATGTGCGACTGTATAAAAATTATGATTAAAAAAATATATATTTTAAATATGTACGTTCTATTAGGTACATGTCGTTTTTATTAAAATTTCAGTCATAATTATTTAATCAATTAAAAGAATTTAACATTTTTTTGCTCTATAAAATAGAAAGTTTTTTAGAATAAAGTCAGTTATTTGTAACCATACTTTTCTGATTCGTTTTGTCGTTATTTTTTTCTGGTTTGCCTAATGCATTTATAATTTGAGGATCTATAAAAAAAAATTAAAGGAAGGATGTAAAATTTCACTTTAATAACCATCTGTTCCTCCTGCCTTTCGTAACACACAAATACAAACTTTTCTCAAATAATTATTTTTAATCGCGTTTAAGTATTACAACACGTGCGGTGCTATCAAGAATGAGCTAATAACGCCTGCATACGAGTCGCAGTGACAATGTTACAATTGTATATTAAAATGTGGATAACGTCACTCAGAATGTCGGATTAGTGTGATTTAGTATTAGAGGAAAATTAATAGATGCACAACGATTTTTCGTTCTGTTTTGCATTTTCTAATCTCATAACTTAATTGTTAAACTTTATTGTTTGTTCTCAAAATAAAGAAATAAAAAAGTTATGTAATGTATGATTTTTTGTATTTTTTTTTTTTCTTCATTTTAAATACTAAATTTTCTATATTTTATTTTCTGAGACGACATTCATTTTTCATGCTTAGAATTTTATTGAGATAGGTCCGTGGTTGGTAAATTTTTAGCAATAAAATTCAAGAAAGCAAATAAAAGGTTTTATAATTCTTCGTTGCGACGACTAGTTTTGGCTGAGTCATGCTTAGTAAACTTAAATTTATTGCTTGAAAATTCTATATTCCAGACATTCTTGTCTGTACCTACATATAATTTAGCAATTTTTAAAGCTTAAAAGTAAAACGATGTTAAAAGAGAGTTTAACATGAACAAAAAAAAATGTACTAATAGGTGAATCTTATAATTTTTTTTGTATCTAAGAGTAAATCTTCTTATCAGCAATATATATACCTAAATTATTGTTTTCTTGTGATAGTGAATTATGAATCAAAATATATATAATTGTAAATCATGAAATGAAAATGTAAATCGAAAACAAATTTAACATTTTCATAAAGGTATAGCTGAGAGTAATCTTCATAGCCATTATTTGAATATAATAAAAATGTACTGATTACAATGATCCCTAGGCTATGGAATGTAATTATTCTTATTGATTTATAGTATTTGGTTTTAATGGGCAAGTAATGTTTAATTATCATAAAGATATTTTTTGTTAATAAAGGCAAAACTTTTATCTAAATGTATCATATAAAATTCCTTTATCGACAAATACTTGTTATAATTAAGAAATATTTTCCTTCAGGGTAAAATTCTTCTTAGAACCTTTTTTTTATTGTTCTTTCTTGCTGTTTTTGTATAGAAAACTTAGCCAAATATTTTTTCAAATGTTCTTCATATTTAACAGTCTCTCATTAAATATTATTTTAATATTGAAATAACTGTAAACGAATTTATAATTTAAATGTTACTTATAAAAAGTAATTTGAATTCTGAGAAAATTTTCCTTTATCCGCAAGCTGTAATCATGTAACTGTTTGAGGGTGAGTTATTTTTAATATTTATAAGAACGTAGAACCCTTTTGTATTCAGGGGGCTAATACTGGGGTCTTTAATTACGAAGAGTACAATAGACGAAGGGCAACTGCAGGGCACTACGGTCGGATTAGTCCTAAATTAGACGAATGAGGAATAAAAGGAATGCCTGGGCAATTAAAAAACCAATTTGTGTGATACGCGCCGTACAAAAGAACAACTCGCAATGAGCGGATCGTGATATATTGGTAATGTATTTTTTGTTTCGATGTTTAAATTTAAATAACAAATATTAGCTATTGATTGCTTTTCTGTAATTTATTAGTTAATATTCTTATCTTTGTTAAAGACTTATATATGTATAATATGTAGTAATTAATCTTTACAAGACATTCTGTTCAACTGTGCTATATTGTGTTTTTGGTCGTATTATCTTTTTAATTCTAATCAGGTGACAGCTTTCTCAAAAATATTGATAGTGGTACAGATTTGTATGAACTAATAAAGTTAATACTCTGATAAAATGATAGCATCTAAATTTT